TGTGTGTGTGTGTGTGTGTGTGTGTGTATGTATGCAAGGATTTAATTTATATCAAACTATCACTAGCAAAACTACTACAAGAAAGAAATGGACAAAATCCTGACCTGACTTGAGCTGGTGATTTTGAGACGATAAAACACAGGAACAAACAGAACTGCAGCAATGAGGGAGTTGAGCGCTTGTCCCAGGCACATATAGAGGAACTTAAAGCCATATAAATATGCCTCTGATGGCACACCGAGCACTTGGACAGCTGACATAAAGCTGGCACAGAGCGACAGTCCAACGGGCACAGCAGAGAAACTCCTTCCCCCGTGAAGAAGTTGTCCACGTTAGAGCGATCCGGGGTCTTCCTCAGAGACTGGAATAGCCCGATGGCCACCGACACCCCCAGCATAGCAGCAAATACTGCATAGTCCACCAAAGTGAAGCCCAGTGTGTCAGAGTCTGAAGCCATAGTGCTGTCTGTTCAGACTCAGAAGTCAGAGTCTAAATGAGTGGAGTCCTTCTATTCAAGAAGCTTTCAGCTGTAACAACAAACCCAGAAATCACAATGCATTCTCAGGCAGCCCCCTGTTATGTTCTCTTGACTTTCAAACACTGGGGCTCATGCAGTGCACAGTGTCATTTAAGGTAAGAGCAGATGAATTGATTGAGTACAAAATAAGATATAGCAATTTACCGGTATATCTTTTGCACAATATTTAAATATTAAACAAAATAACAGCCTACATTTAACCAAAACAAAAACCTGGAAAAAAGCGTTTATGAGTGTTTGGAAAGACCAAATTCCACAGGCCAACACATGATCAAATCATACAGGACAGAAAACTGAATTGGTTTAAAGATATGGTCACTATCACTGACCAGTGTGGAAAGTGAGTGAGCATTATTTCAAGTAGACTTGGATTTATTTTCCTGGGCTGATAATTTGGATAATCGAAGACTGTCTAATGGGAGGGGAATTAGGAAATAATGTAATACAGTATAACCAGGGCCGCATTAAGACCGCACTGGGCCCCGGGGCTATGACTTACTGCAGGGCCCCCCATCACAATAATGATATATATATATATATAGGGTACATTGACATAGCAGAGGTGGAGTCATTCGACACCACAGATTCTTGTAATTGTTTTATAGCCTATATACTGTATATATATATATATATATATATATATATATATATATATATACAGGGGTGCACATAAGTTTTTTAGTCTGTTTCTCATAAGAGCACCTGGAGATTAGGTTTGGTGCTCACACTACACAGTGTAAAAAAAATATTAATAATAGTAATAACAATATTATTGACATAACATAACATATTAACATAAAATAATAAACAAAATAATAAAGTGTGGTAATACTATTAGCTATATTTTAAAATAAAAAGTGAGTATTAAATAAAAATACAATTATTTATTTTTATAACACAAAATGGCTAAAGAAGCAATTAAAATGGATAATAGCGTAGCAGTCACTATAAGCAGGGCAGAAGGAAAGTCTGTGATTAAGCAAGTATGTAGGAGTAAATGGCAGAACTACTGGAACTCATGTAAAAAAAAAAAGGAAGACATTTTTATAGAATACAAAGTAACATAAAACAAGGTAAAATTAATCATTATATAAATAGGAAGGACTTTATTATATATACAAGATTAAGAATGGGTCATACTAATCTTAATGCAACACTTCATATTATCGGAAAACATCATTCTGGTTTATGTAATGTATGTCAGGAAATGGAAACGGTTGAGCATGTTTTGATTAGACGTAAAAAATATGAACAGGAAAGAACTGAACTTATGAGATATGCAAGCTTTGGGTATTATGGAATTTACCTTATATAATATTTTAAAGGCAGGAGTAGAATTTAATAAAATAAGTATAGCGTTAATGAAGTTCTTGAGAAATAGCGGTCTAAAGAACAGAATATAGAAAATCTTCCTTGTGTTCCATCTTCGTCACACTCCAGTACAGTAGGTGGCGGTATGCACTTTTCCAGTTGGTTTGCAACCCGCCAATAAACTCACAGAAGAAGAAGAAGAAGCGGAGCAGAGCAGGACAGGTGCGCTGAGCAGACACGCAGAACACGAACTAATGCTCATTATAGCTGATCTTAAGTATTTACCGTGGCATATGTTAATGTTATATTGAGTAATTCACGGCTAA